CTAATAATAAAAACTTTAGATGTCTGTTTGGAGGTACTTTTTATTTCATTTTCATAATAATTCATTTTTATTGGATTTTATAAAAGTATCAGTTCACACAGATTAGAAATAAAAACTGGTGCCTAACAACAGGTAGTTAGAACACTTCTGTGCAATGAGCAACACGAGGCTGCCACAGAGTGGTTTCACCATGTTCACCAAGCGTCTGAATGCCATAGTCAAGACCTGAATCAAATTATGTCCTGCAAGAAACTCAGTGACTTAGGATGATTTACTTCACTTATTTCTCCAGAGGACTAGATAAAAAATTAAAATACATCATGCCCAGTTCTTTGACCCCTGCCTCCCAAAGGTATGTAGAGGTTAAGAAGAATGGTGATGACTATAGTTCTCTGTTAAGGAGCAAGGAGCCACAGTCCTGCCCAAGCCGAATCACAGAATTAAGAGCCAGGATGCAAGACTAAAACAAATGCCTGGCTTCCCTAGCAGTAGCACTCCATGAGAAATCAGAAAGGAGGGAGAGAACAGTCAGCTCCCAGCAAGCTAGGAGAACAAGTATGTAAGAGATAAATACTTATTTTCTTTTATCATAAATAAAAACAAAAATACATTTCTAAAAGTGAAATTAACTTGTCTTAATCACAAAACCTGATCAAATGCAGACTGAACTACTGTATCATCCCTAAAAGTGCTAAGAAATCATTAAACATGTAAATCAAAAAATTTCTTAAGTATAAAGTGCAAAAATATCATCTCGAATCAGCATTATTTAATCATATAATAGCACCATATTCTAACTACTGAAGAGAAAAAAGAGCGAGGAATTTCTAAGGAGAGGCTAAACAGACATAAAGAACTTCTGTTCATTCAACATGAAGAAGTCAAATTCCTATTTTCGTGTTTGGAATTTGGGGAGTATACACAACCACTTAGTTTTCCCTAATCAATTATTTACTCATAATAAGATGGAAAGAGAAATGATGTCCACTGTCTTAAACAAAACCAATCAAATTACCTATAAACAAATTGAAACTCAAATGGCACCAGGAAAGAACTTAAAGAGATACTTGTCAGGTCAGAAAGGCTGAGAAATAAGGCCAGTATAACCTGTGAGCCACACCACCGAGGGTTTTTCAAAGCTGAACACGTATTTACCCTCCTTTCCTAATAATAAGAAATCCTCAACTACTCCCCAGTGCGTCCATCAACAAAATTAAACGTAATGAATTTCATTGTATCATTTCCCTACTCAAACTCCTTAACAACCGAGTTAAAAACCAAATCTCCAAAAAGAAAAAAAAGGATATTATTATGAACGACTTTATGCTAATATCCCAAGATTTAGATGAAATGAACAAACTGAAAAACAATTTGAGGAAAAACACAACTTATTAAAACTGACAAGAAATAGAAAATTTAAAAAGGCCCATATCCATTAAAGAAACTGAATTATAATTTAAAACTTTTCCACAAAGAAATTCTTCCTAAATTTCAGTGTAATCCAAATCAAAATCCAAGAAGGTTTTGTGCATGTGTGGAAAATGACAAGCTAATTCTAAAATTATATGGAAATGCAAAAGGCCAAGAATAACTAAATATAATCTAGAAAAAAAAACTTGGAAAACTTATACTACTAGGTAGCAAGACTTACTATAAAACTACAGTAAGAAAAACAGCTAGGTAAAGGCTAAGGAGACAGAAAAGAGATCCTAGAAACAGGCTCACACATATGTGGTTACTAATTTGTGACAAAACAGGCACTACAGTACAAAAGGGCCTGGTCAGTAAATGGATCAATTGGCTATCCATTTGTAAAAGTAAATGAATCTTGAATCTACCCTATGCCACACACAAAAATCATTTCCAGGTAGATTACAAAGTTAAATGTGAAAGATAAAATAATGGCTCTGGGGAAAAAAAACATAAGAGAATATCTTCATGATCCTGGTATAGGCAACGTTTTCTTAAGTATGACACAAAGGCACTAAATACAAAAGAAACAAACTGGACTACATTAAAGTTAAGAATTTCTGTTCATCAAAATAAACCATTAAGATAGTAAAAGGCAAGTCACAGCATGGGTAAGTCATTTACGACACATATATCTGACAAAGAACTCATATCCACAATACATAAAGAGCTCTCAACAAATTAATAACAAAAAGACAACCCAACAGAAAAACAGGCAAGAGACATACAGAGGAATTTCAAAAAGAAGACATTTAAATGACCAATAAACTTACAAAAGATGTTCAAATCAGCAGTCATGAGGAAAACACTAATTAAAATCATAATAAGATACTTCACCAGAATGACTAACATTGTCAAGTTTTGGCAAAGATGTGAAAAAATTGGAACTATCAATCACTTGGTGGGAATGTAAACCGATATACTGGCAGTATTTACTAAAGCTGGGCCAGCATACCCCATGAACCAGAAATTCCTCTCCTAATGATTATCTCTTTTAAGACCAATTTCAACAAGGAGGAACAGTGAAAGAAGGAAAACTGAAGGAGAAACCACAACAACAAGGTATATTTATTGCTTCTACCTAGCTTCTTAATTCCAGGAGGCATTGGGGTGGGGGGAACACAACAGTGGTTTCCTCCGGAAAAGCAAAAAAGAGGTATGAGAAGAGGATATCTCTTATATTTTATATATTGCTAGACCACTTGAATCATATTCCCACTGAGGGCCTATTATTTTTGTAATTTAAAAAATAATAACGATAAAGTGAATTTTAAAAGTTTGGTAGCTTGAGCAGATGGTTTTCTCCAACAGAACTCAAAGATACAGAAGTGGAGAACTATAAAGTAAAAATTAAACAGCGAATAAATGGCAAGAGAAGGATTCAAAGAAATATTTGTGGCTCCTAAGACCCATACCTCACATTTTTCTACTTTTCCTAATTCATTCTCTACACCTCATGTGACTCCTATGGGTCACCTCATAGGAAAAAAGGAAAGAAACACCATTTTAGCAGTCCCCTTGGGGTTACCTGGTACTATAGACAGCCTCATAGCATCCTATGAGTAAACAAGGTTGGATTGCTATCCCCACTTTTCTTAGGGGGTGATATTAAAAATGAAAAAGAAGTGGTTTGCTCAACATCCTAAATTGAGTTTGATATAAAAACAGTACTCAGTTTTCCTTATTTCCATCCAGGACTCTTCCTCTTAGATGATGCAAAATACAATGTACGAAAGCCAGTTCTTGCTTACTGACCTGACACAAACCAATATAGGTTTGTATAAAACCCTTTTCCTTAACCTGCATCTTAATAATACTAACTACACTAAAGGTTTCAAAAATATTCAAAACTTTTGTGATGTTGTTATTTATAATAAGAAATATGTATTTGGTCCACAAAGCTGTTCCTGGCACAGGGCTCCTAAAAGGAATTTCCTAAGAGATGAGAGCAATAAAAGTCTTTTATTATGTTAATAACAAGTTTTGAAAAGCTAAGGACAGGGGGAGGGGAGGAAGGGGGTAAGCTGGTTGCCTGAACCAACCTCAAGATTAGAGGGTTAGAACTTTCAATCCCACCCCTGACTATGGAAAGCAGAGAAGGCTAGAGATTGAGTCCAATCACCAATGGCCAATGATTTAATCAACAGTGCCTATATGATAAAGCCTCCATAAATGCCCAAAAGAAGAGGCTTCCAAGAGCTTTCAGGTTTGGTGAACATACGAAGGACCAATGAGAGCGGCATGCCCAAAGAGCAAGCATACCTTGCCCTATGCATCTCTTCCATCTGGCAGTTCCTGAGTTACATCCTTTTATAGTAAATGGGTAATCTCGTAAATAATATGTTTCTCTGAGTTCTGTCAGCTGCTCTAGCAAATTAATTGAACCCAAAGAGATGGTCCTGGGAACCTCCTTAATGCAAGTTGGTCAGAAGCAGGAATTTCTGGATCACAGGGTATGTGCAGGCCTAGCTTTAGCAGATACTGCCGGTAACAACCTGAACTTTCAATCAGTGTCTCAAAGGAATGCAGTGGCAGTCTTGTGGGACT